GCATGGAATAGTTGTATTTGCTGATTGTTGCCAAAGTAATGCTATGCTTACAGGAAGGATCCCAAAACTCAATGGGCTTCAAATTTTAAGTATTTTTTAATCTTTTTATTTGTCTTATTTTTATTTTTTTATGAGTATACTGCTTGCATGTGTGTAAGGCTACCCGTGTCATAAAATGCCCGCAGAGATCAGAAGAAGACATCGGATCCCCTGGAACTGGAGTTACAGACAGTTGTTAGCTGCCCTGTGGGTGCTGTGAATCGAACCCTGGTCCTCTGCAAGAGCCATTATTGCGTTTAACTGCTGAGCCATCTCTCCAGCCCCAGTATTTCTCATTTCATCATGGGTCTGCAGGAAAACCACAAGCCTCTGTCTTGACTGCATTCTAGACTCAAAGCTCCAGCTTTCTTTCCTAGGACTTGACTGCAGTTTCAGGACAAATCCAGGTATATCTGGGGACCCCTTGTCCTAGAGCCCAGGCTGAAGAGGACAGTGTCTTCCTAAAGAATTCATAAGTATCTTATGGCTATCACCAGATCACCCAGATCAAATCAATCCTCTCTCACCATTTCACAATTTCTGACTGCACTATGTGAATAAAAGTCCCCAGAAAAAAACCTTGGGTCTTCAAACTGGACTTTCTCCTGTACAGCTGATCAATTTATTAGAATTTCAATAAATGTGGAGAGTTTGAATGTTGCAGATCCAGAGCCCAATTACCATTTATCTCCGGCCATCTTTTGCCCCCTAAACAGCCACTCTTTGCTCATCTCTGCTTCTGATCTAACATCCTGTGACTAACAGATAAAAACCTTTTAGAATGTATTATCCTAGCAGACCACCAGGTCTCACCATTCAAAAAGCTAAGACTGTCATTAGATAGCATCTGAGACCTCTAGTAGAGAGCCCCCCACCGGTTTGCTATGACTTGCCTACTGAATGTATCCACTAATGTATTTGAAAAGTGTCATGATTTATGACTTTTCTTTGTTCTGTGACTATAAAAATGTAATGTAACTGTTACCATGCTGGAACATGGAATTTGGGGTAACCTGAATCTGTGTTCTCAGGCCATGGTCACTCATATTTGGCTCCAGAATAAACAATCTCTTATCCCCTTTGAAGTGAGAGTTATGTTTTTGCATCGACAATCGTGATCTCTATCGTCATTCCACTGGCCAGACAAGTCATATGGTCAAGCATACATCAATAGGGCTGACAAGTATATCCTACCCTTGTTATGTAGGCTCTACAAAGTTATGTCAAAGGGGACTAAAAGTCAGGATCCAGTCTTTCAACACCATCTACGTTAAAGATACAGACTTTGGAACCAGAAGCACTTGGGCTTACTTTCTTGCTTATGTGACATTGGGAGAATCTCCAAGCATAGACCCATTGTCAAGATGAGTTGAATTTCACCAAGTGGTTTTTGGTCCATTTTAATATTTGACTTATATATTAGTTATTTTTCTCATTGGTATAACAAAATACCTGACCAAAAGCAACTTAATGGACGGTTTATTTTAGCTTGTGGTTCAAGAGAGTTAAGGCCCATCATGGCAGAGAAGTCACGTGGCAAAAGCATGAGGCAGCTGGTCATATTGCATCTACAGTCAGGAAGCAGAGAGCCATGACTATTAGCTCTCAGCTTGCTTTCTCCTTTCATTCATTCCAGAACTCCAACCCATGGAACAGTGCTACCTATGTTCAGAGTGGGTCTTGCCTCCTCAGTTGACCCTATCTGGAAAGGCCCTCATAGACATACCCAGAGGTACGTTTCCAGGGTGATTCAAGTTGACAGTGAACATGACCCATCACAGTTTAGAAGAAACTAATAGCAAAAAGCTAGAGTCTACTACAACAAGAATTTATTAACTACATTTCCATGCCAAATGTTTCCCCTGTGAAACATACATTTCCCCAGGAATCCAGTCAGCCCCCACCCCCTTGTGAGCGCTCCTGAACGTGCTAGTCACATGATCACAACAGTCTTTGTGTTCATTCCTATTTAAACTCTAAGAAATTCACTTCCCAGGTTGGTTTTCAAAACTAAAAGTGAAATTAATTACTATAATTTCTTAAATTTTTCATTTTCTTTAAAGTTTCAATTTTTAAAAGTACAATCCAAAATAGATTAGTAGGGTTTTCCAATAATTTTACCTGTTTTTGTGTTATTTGGGGGCTTTTTACTGAACTCTAAAACATTAATACATCTAGGAACATTTTTAGTTGAACAAAATCAAGGATTTTCATTATAATTACTTATTGAATAAGAATCAGCTTGAAAACCTTTTATGTTGAGAATTTTTGACAATACTGAACATTTCAAAGCTTTATTTCTCAGTAATTATCTTCCCCTCCCTAAATTTAGGGAATCTTGCTTTTCTAGATTTGGGAGGGGGAGTGGATGGAGACCCTTGGGAATTCCAGTGTGCTGCACATCATCAGAATATTTTAAGAGCAGGTGTGGTAGAACACTTGCCCAGCATTGTACAAAAAAAAAAAAAAAAAAAGTTTTCATAAAAGCCAACTTTTCAATGCTGAAAACACAGCCCCGTTTTAAGAGCTTTTATACTGATAGACTTTAGACTGTGACTGACGAATACAACCAACATGAATGCATACGTTTGGGGGACTGCCAAAGTGCCCAGTGTGGACACTTAAAACAACAGAAATGGGCTTCTCTCGGTTCTGGAAGGTAGAAGTGAAAGCCAGCAGGTTTGGTTTGTGCCCAGGCTTCTCAAAGACCTTGTGGGGTGCCCACACATGTTTTTTCCTGTCTGCATACACATCTCTGATGTCTGTGTGTCTGTCCTAACCTCCTCTCATATGGATCCCAATTAGACTTGAGTAAAGCTTACCCTAAAGGCTTCGTTTCAATTTAATTGTTACTGAAAAAGGCCCTATATTCAAATGAAGTCACATTCAGGGTTACTGAAGATTAGGGCTTCAAAACATCAATTTTAAGAGAACAGTTCAGCCCATAAAAATAGTCATGGTGTCACATACCTGCAATCTCAGCTACTCAGGAAGTAAGGTGTAGATGTAGCCCAAGAATTAGAGAGCAGCCTGGGCAACATAGGGAGGCCCTGTCTCAAAAAACAAAATAGATCATGATCAAAATTACTTAGAAATTATCAAAAGCATTATTGACATCATTTACATGTCCCACACATTTAAATTACACACCTCAATTTTTTTTGAACTATTCAATGAGGCACACTACTGTTGTCGCCTTTCAATTCAAAACACCATGAAAAGACAAAATTTGTGCATCATAGGCATAGAGGAAGGAGAAGAATTTCAGGTTAATGGCATTGACTAGATCTTAAACAGGATTGTAGAAGAAAATTTCCCAAAATTGAGAAAAGACACACCCATAAAAATATAAGGAGCACATACAACACCAAATAGACAGGACTCTGCACAGCATATCATAGTAAAACATTAAATGTACAGAACAAAGAGAGAATGCTGAAAGCTGTAAAAGAAAAACAACAAGTCACACACAAATCATAATTACAGCTGACTTATCAATGCAAACTATGAAAGCCAGAAAAGCCTAGACCAAAGTATTCCCATTTCTAAATGACCATAGATGGCAACCCAGAATACTTTACCCAGCAAAAATATCTATTGTAGTTGAAGGGGAAAGAAAAATCTTCCACGACACAAATAGGCTGAAAGAATTCATGTTCACAAAACCAGCCCTTCAGAGAACAACTGAAGCAATACAAAGAATGGAAAAAAGGAACAACTACGCCCAGTGGGCAACAGAAACTAAATGAAGCTATAATCATGGAAACGCAAAATTAAACCAAGAACACAAACAAATTAAAATGATGGCAACCAATACACATCTTTAATATAATGTTAAATATCAATGGACTGAACTCCCCAGTCAAAAAACACAAGCTAGTTGATTGGATTAAGAAACAAAATCCATCTTTTCATTGTCTGCAAGAAACCCATCTCACCCTCAAGGACAAGTACTACCTTAAGGTGAAATGATGGAAAAGAATATTTCAAGGAAATGGCACAAAGAAACAAGCAAGGGTACAATTTTAATATCTGACAAAATAGACTTCAAACTAGAACTAATCAGAAGACATAAAGAAGGTCACTTCTGATCAAAGGAACAATTGATCAAGAACATATATGCACCAAACTCTAGTGCACCCAATTTCATTAAAATAGTACGTCAGGACTTTAATAAACAGGTTAACCCCAACTCAGTAATAGTAGGGGACTTCAACAGCCCACTGTCTCCATTAGATAGGTTAATTGGACAAAGAATAAACAGAGAAATACCTGAATTACATGATACATCAAATGGACCTAACAGGCATCTACTGAATATTCCACCCAAGCACCAAAGAATACACTTTCTATTCAACACCCCAAGGAACTTTTTCTAAAATTGACCACATACTAGGGCAAAAAACAGACCTCAACAAATACAAAAAAATTGAAATAATTCCATGCGTTCTATCAGACCACAGCACAATAAAGC